TTGCTCCTGCCGCTCGTCTTAGCCGCAGAGCCAGTCACTCTAGTAGTCCGTCGCCCTTGCTTCGGTAGCCACTGAGTCAGCCGCTCCCAAGCCCGTGCCTCTGCAGCTTGAGTCGTTGCCTCCCATCTTCTCTCCTTCTACACTTCCTCCTCCTCCTCACTTGCCCGCTGTGATTACCTCTAGCTTTGCTTATTGTTGTGAACTCCTGCTATGCCTGCTCATTGTGCTGATTACACCCCACTTTGGCTATGGGGGTGTGTCAAAATGTTATCATCTAGCCTGTAGTGAGGTGCTCTATAGCGGGTACAACCCAGTTAGGGTTTGCTATATGTATCCCAACTGCTGCTAGTGAAACCCCTCCTTTCTTCAATTCTGTTTCTGCCTGCTAACTTTGACAGAATCGTGGCCGACGAACCAGCAGATGCAAAGAACGCATCTTCAGCGGGGGTGTTCAGGTGCATTTGCTCTTGGCGACAAGAGCGTTGTAGGTCTTCAATCTCTTATTGCAGCTGCGACAGCTGTAGTAGTGCATATCTGCCAAATACGAAAAGTAAGGAGTGAAGGTAGGTACCACAAATCACGATGTTAGTGACGGGTGGTATCACGCTTTGAGACTAGCATGAAGGGAGATAGCACGAATCTGGATGTGAGCAAGAGGGGTGGAAACACCCATTCACATGAGCTTGAGGGCAGGTAACACGCTTTAAGGCATCCCCTGTGGGGTGATGACACGAATCTGGATGTGGGTGAGATGGGTGGTAACACACATTGAGATGAGCTTGCACGATCGTAACACATTTTGAGATGAGCATGAGGGGTGGTACCACGCGTTGAGAAGAGCCTGCAAGGTCGTAACACATTTTGAGATGAGCATCAGGGGTGGTAACACGCATTAATATGAGCTTGAGGGGTGGAGACACGCAGTGAGATGAGCCAGGGGAGTAGTAGCACGCAACGAGAGGAGCATGAGGGGTAGTAAGAGCATGAAGGGTGGTAACACACGTTGAGAGGAGCATGAGGGGTAGTAGGTGCATGAGGTGTGGTAAGAGCATGAGGGGTGGTAACACGCATTGAGATGCGCCTGTGGGGTGGTGACACGAATCTGGATGTGAGTGAGAGGGGTGGTAACACACATTGAGCGAAGCATGAGGGGAAGTAACACACATTGAGCGGAGCATGAGGGGTGGTAACACACATACAGGGAGAAGCAATCAGGGTAGTAGGAGCATGAGGGGTAGTAAGAGCATGAGGGGTGGTAACACAAATCGAGGCATGGTCAGACGAATGTAAGCATGGGTATGATGTCATTTACCTGTCTGAGCTTCATCCGTTGGTTCCATGATATTGAGCTGTCAAGCCGTACTTGTTGCTCGGAGATAGAAGAAACAAAGGATTAATGATCTGGCCGTGCGATCACACACAATAGCATTCACAGCGAGCGCACGTCCCGAGGCTTCTCACGCCGTGCGCTCGCTCCCACGGTCCGCATTCACAGGAGCGCTCGTCCCCACGTTCCCTCTCGCCTTGTGCTCGCTCCCACGGTCCGCATTCACAGCGAGCGCACGTCCAGAGGCGCCTCTCACTGTGCGCTCGCTCCCACGACCCGCATTCACAGCGAGCGCATGTCCCAAGGCTCCTCTCGCCATGCGCTCGCTCCCACGGTCCGCATTCACAGCGAGCGCACGTCCAGAGGCGCCTCTCGCAGTGCGCTCGCTCCCACGGTCCGCATTCACTGCGAGCGCACGTCCCGAGGCGCCTCTCGCCGTGCGCTCGCTCCCACGGTCCGTCTCCGCATACCTTTGTGCTAGTCAAGGTAAGAACCTTGACTGGTGCTGTATCCACCACGGCATGTCTCTAGCACAAGGAAGGAATTCACGCATAAGCCAGTGTCACATCTGCTTCAAACCAAAATAGCACGTTTTATTCCTTTGAGGGTACAAGAAGACCACAGATAACCAAACATGAATCTGTTTGTCACATGGGTGGATGGATGGCCAGTAATTGTTGTCAATTGCTGCAGCAATCATTGCTGCAGTCTATCACCTCCAACAGTCTATGGACCCTTCCACATTTTGAATGGCTTGTTTTGCTGTACCAATCATGCCACCACAAGTTATGGTGCAAGTTGATTGAGTGCATGTGAGGAGGTGTGATCTAGATACTTAGCAATTGCATGTATCAAAGCAAGTTGCAAGGCCAGCAATGGACTAAACAAACAAATTGAGTAACTCTCATGCTGAGTTGGAATGTACACATACTCTTTCCTGGTGGACCCTTCCAGATTTTGAATGGCTTGTTTTTTGTTGTTTTGTAAGGCACCACAATTTCATGTGCAAGTTGTTTGAGTGCATGAGATGAGGTGTGATCTAGATACTTAGCCATTGCATGTATCAAAGCACGCTGCATTGCCCACCATGGACTAAACAATCAACTTGAGTAACTCTCACGCTGAGTTGGAATATACACATACTCTTCCCTGGTGGACCATTCCAGATTTTGAATGGCTTGTTTTTGATGTTTTGTTTGGCACCACAAGTTCCTGTGCAAGTTGTTTGAGTGCATGAGATGAGGTGTGATCTAGATACTTAGCAAATGCATGTACCAAAGCAAGTTGCACTGCCCACCATGGAACCAAAAACTCAATTGGTGTGATGTGAAGGGTGTGATGTGATGCATTGATACTTGGTATAATGGCTCTTCAATTGTCCTTCCATGAAGGAAGAGGCTTGCTGGCTAGCATGGCACTTTCTCCCCATAGACTAATCTATTCTACACTATCCTTTTTTTACAATTCAGACGTGTATGTGCATTTCCTCGTACAGATACACATAAACCCAATAGCAAACTCCTCCAATAAGATCGTGTAAACCACACGGCCATAACCCGTATCATTCAACCAAGCGTCTATGCACCCAAAAATGTGGGTGTACATTATTGTTAGGCTGTGAAACTCCAACATAGCCCTTTCATTGATTACATGATTGTCTCTAAGCCTTGGGGTGTTATTATGAAAGTTTTTCCGTTCCTAATCATAACGTATACCCAGCAAATGTATCATCCAGGCCCTAGACAAATGCTGAATGCATGATCGTATAATTACAGGCTCGTTGGGACGTCGGCGGCTTCGCCCGCAAGCAAGGTGTTTTCTACGGGCTGATCCATGTCGACGCTGCTGAATGACAAGGCGCTCGGCGACGTGTTAACTGGCGCCGACCGGAAGAAGAGCCAGCTCGACTAGGCTCTATACTTCAAAGCTGGGTGCTGGTCTACGTTGACGACCTACTTGCTGGCAGCAACTATCATGCTAAGCTGAACGAGCGGAAGGGGCTGCTGGAGGACGCCTTTGAGCTGCGCGAAAAAAGCCCGGTCGAGAAGTATCACGGGCTGGAAATCGTATGCTATCGACCAGCGAGCAAGTTGTGGCTTCACCATGAAGTCTGTGTCGACAAGCTGCGTCGGCGTTTTATCGACAAGGAGCAGACCAGTTGCGTGCCGATGACGCCGGTCTCCGTCAACGCCAACGCAGAGCGTATTATTTTACGACGAGGACGCGCAGTCGCGCAAAAATGATAAGTATCGGCAGAAGGTCGGCATGATGCAGTTTGCGGCAACAACAACGAGGGTGGACATTGCATTCGCGTGCAGCAAGCTGGGGAGCGGCCTGACAATGCAGAGTGAGAACCACTGGCGCGAGGTCGACCGTTCTATTCACTACCTCGCCAACACCCGTGACACCGCGGTGGAGTTTGGCGGTGGACCAGAGTCGCCGTGTCTAATGGGCTATGCAGACGCCGACGACACTAGTGACAAGCACCTCAAGATGAGCACGGGCAGCTCTTGTTCATCTTCGGTGGGGCCGCGGTCTCTTGGTCGAGCATGCGCATCAAATGCGCGACGCTCACGTCCACCGAGACGCAGTACATCGCGGCCACGGGAGCTGGCAAGGAGGCTCGCCGACTGACCTCCCTATATGCACAAGTTCATGCTGCTCGACGCCTGGAAGCCTACTGTCCTTCATGTGGACAACCAATCGACCACCATGGTCGTAGTGGGCTTGGGGCTCAAAAGAAACCTTAAGCATATAGGGCGATGCTACGCCAGGCTGCATCAAATGGTGAACGAAATTGGTACAGCAACTCATCGCTTGGTTCGAGAGTACGTCGACAATCTTTGCGCCATCACAATTTCGCATTTTGGCGTCGTTTTTTACTGTCAGGCACGATAGCTCAGTTTCAAAACTCGAGCTACGACAGCACAATGGACCGCATTGACTCCTCACGAGCATTTCCTCTCGTCATTTAGGGTACGGTTATAAGACTCACCTGGCTATTTCTCTTATTATCCACCAACCTAGCTTCCAAAGATCGACAATGGCTTCAGGTCACACGAGCACTAAGGCGTTCATTCCGAGTGCACTCCCTTCGAGAGCGGACCCTGCAAGCAATAACTCGCAACCATGCCCGCATAGTAATGGCTCCAGTGGCGGCAATCAGACCCAACACGTTGTTGTTAATGTTGAAGTCAATGATGTGGACGACGGTACGATACCATCACTTGTCCCATCGTTGGCATCTTGTATACCCGTCCCTTGAGTTTTCCCCTGCTGTCGATAGGCTCGTTCTCATGCCGCTCCTTCACCCATCGTTTTTGCTGGAAACAAGTTTGTTTCTTTGACTGCTGTCTCTTTCAACTCGCCAAAAAAACGCCAAGTTCCGACAAAGTCGAAGCGTGCAGGGCGGAAGGGGAAAGGATATTTAGCCGGTCACGGAAGGGGACAGCAACCTCAGCAGCAGAAGTGGAGCAAGGCTGTGGCGCAGACAGCTATTCTTGCCGCAGCCTTTTCCAGCCGTTCTCAGTGTTCCATCCCGGCCGCGAACGCTCTCTGCTCGCCATCACAGCCATGCCCTGGACTCCCTGCTGGCTCTACCCACCCCTCAACTCCAGTCGCTCCACTCTCACCCTCCTCCGCCTATGCGCCTGCTTCATCCCACCTTCTCGCAATGCCTCCACAGTCCAGCCCCGGTCTTCCCTCCGCCTCTCTCTCCCCTTCAGGTGCTGCCGCTGCTATCTCACCCTCCTTCGCCTATGCGACTGCTTCATCCCACCTTCTCGCAATGCCTCCACAGTCCAGCCCCGGTCTTCCCTCCGCCTCTCTCTCCCCTTCAGCTGCCGCCGCTGCTATCTCACCCTCCTCCGCCTATGCGCCTGCTCCATCCCACCTTCTCGCAACGCCTCAACAGTCCAGCCCCGGTCTTCCCTCCGCCTCTCTCTCCCTTTCAGCTGCCGCCGCTGCTATCTCACCTGTCAATAGATCTGCACTGTGGATGCCCGATTGATCCTGGAGAGGGTTACAGGCGCGTTCACCTGGGGGGTTATGGGTGCACTGACCCGCTACTGAAACAAGCCCTTTTATCCCACTGGTCTAGTGACTGGGATTCTGACATGGTATCAGAGCGGTCTCGGGTTCGATTCCCGGTGTATGCACATGTAGGCCGTTGCCGCTGTGCTTAGTCCTGGGCCTCCCAGTGTAGGGGGGTGTCAGTAGATCTGCACTGTGGATGCCCGATTGATCCTGGAGAGGGTTACAGGCGCGTTCACCTGGGGGGTTATGGGTGCACTGACCCGCTACTGAAACAAGCCCTTTTATCCCACTGGTCTAGTGACTGGGATTCTGACATCACCCTCCTCCGCCTATGGGCCTACTTCATCCCACCTTCTTGCAACGCCTCAACAGTCCAGCCTCGGTCTTCCCTCCGCCTCTCTCTCCCCTTCAGCTGCTGCCACTGCTATCTCACCCTCCCCCGCCTATGCGCCTGCTTCATCCCACCTTCTCGCAACGCCTCAACAGTCCAGCTCCGGTCTTCCCTCCGCCTCTCTCTCCCCTTCAGCTGCTGCCGCTGCTATCTCACCCTCCTCCGCCTATGCGCCTACTTCATCCCACCTTCTCGCAATGCCTCAACAGTCCAGCCCCGGTTTTCCCTCCGCCTCTTTCTCCCCTTCAGCTGCTGCCGCTGCTATCTCACCCTCCTCCGCCTATTCGACTGCTTCATCCCACCTTCTCGCAACGCCTCCACAGTCCAGCCCCGGTCTTCCCTCCGCCTCTCTCTCCCCTTCAGCTGCCGCCGCTGCTATCTCACCCTCCTCCGCCTATGCGCCTGCTTCATCCCACCTTCTTGCAACGCTTCAACAGTCCAGCCCCGGTCTTCCCTCCGCCTCTCTCTCCCCTTCAGCTGCTACCGCTGCTATCTCACCCTCCTCCGCCTATGCGCCTGCTTCATCCCACCTTTTCGCAACGCCTCAACAGTCCAGCCCCGGTCTTCCCTCCGCCTCTCTCTCCCCTTCAGCTGCCGCCGCTGTTATCTCACCCTCCCCCGCCTATGCGCTTGCTTCATCCCACCTTCTCGTAACGCCTCAACAGTCCAGCCCCGGTCTTCCCTCCACCTCTCTCTCCCCTTCAGCTGCCGCCGCTGCTATCTCACCCTCCTCCGCCTATGCGCCTGCTTCATCCCACCTTCTCGCAACGCCTCAATAGTCCAGCTCCGGTCTTCCCTCCGCCTCTCTCTCCCCTTCAGCTGCTGCCGCTCCTATCTCACCCTCCTCCGCCTATGCGCCTGCTTCATCCCACCTTCTCGCAATGCCTCAACAGTCCAGCCCCGGTCTTCCCTCCGCCTCTCTCTCCCCTTCAGCTGCTGCCGCTGCTATCTCACCCTCCTCCGCCTATGCGCCTGCTTCATCCCACCTTCTCGCAACGCCTCAACAGTCCAGCCCCGGTCTTCCCTCCGCCTCTCTCTCTCTCCTTCAGCTGCCGCCGCTGTTATCTCACCCTCCTCCGCCTATGCGCTTGCTTCATCCCACCTTCTCGTAACGCCTCAACAGTCCAGCCCCGGTCTTCCCTCCGCCTCTCTCTCCCCTTCAGCTGCTGCCGTTGCTATCTCACCCTCCTCCGCCTATGCGCCTGCTTCATCCCACTGTCTCGCAACGCCTCAACAGTCCAGCCCCGGTCTTCCCTCCGCCTCTCTCTCCCCTTCAGCTGCTGCAGCTGCTATCTCACCCTCCTCCGCCTATGCGCCTGCTTCATCCCACCTTCTCGCAACGCCTCAACAGTCCAGCCCCGGACTTCCTTCCGCCTCTCTCTCCCTTTCAGTTGCTGCCGCTGCTATCTCACCCTCCTCCGCCTATGCGCCTGCTTCATCCCACCTTTTCGCAACGCCTCAACAGTACAGCCCCAATCTTTCCTCCACCTCTCTCTCCCCTTCAGCTGCTGCCGCTGCTGGTGTGCAAGTTTCAGCACACTTCTGCACCTCGCCTTCACAATATGGTCTCCCCTTCACTGTCACTTCCCTCCCAGCTACCCTCGCCGCTCTCTCACCCTCCTCCGCCTATGGCCATGCTCCCTTCTCTCATCTCGCCCCACTTACACAGACCACCGGTCTTCCCTCCGCCATCGCCTCACAAGCTACCCTTTCCACTCTCTCACCCTTCTTTGCTGGTGTGCAAGCTTCAGCACACGCCCGCACCTCACCTTTACAATCTGGCCTCCCTTTCACCGTCACTTCCCTTCCTGCTACCTTCGGAGCTATCTCACCCTGCTCCACCTATGGGCTCAATACCTCCCACCCTCTCACCTCACATTTACAGTCATGCCCTGTTACTAGCTCCGCCTGCGCCGCTGCAGCCGCTACACAGACTCCGTCTTTCATCCATTCTCATCCTTCGTCCAGCCAGCTTGCTGCTGCCGCTTTCTTATCCCCTGGACTAGCATCAGCCTCGGTCTTCACTCTTCGTGCTTCTGCTGCTCGCTCCCCCGCTTTGCCCGTGACGCTGCGAGCTCTGCCTTCAGTTTCCCTCGCACCCACTTCCTCAACGCCCCTTTCAGCCTCACATCTGTCACAGGCAGTACGGCCGTGGAATCTTCGACCACGTAAGCAGAAGTCCACTCCCACCGACCCGCCTCCAACACAGGTCGATGCCAAAAATCTTGATGAGGAGTCGGATGATGATGACTCGCTTTTTGATGATGGTCCCAAGAGGGAATCCGAGGGCGCTGCTGTACCACACCATGGTGCATCGAAGGGCATTCGCGCCAACTGGAAGCATCGCAGGTAGAACGCCGTGCTCTGGCTTGTCGTGTGATGGAACTAGAGAATGAACGTATTCATAAATCAACTTCCCCACATCAGCCCACACCTGGAATGGGTAATTCCAATCCAACCCTTGTCCAGCACGGTGTTACTATCCCTGCTGCCCCCAATGATCACCCCAATTCTGCCTCCCCCACTCTTCCAGCCCTTACTCCCAACAGCATTGCACCCTTCAGCCAGCCCATTTCCGTTCTCCCCCTCTCTCCATCCAACGTGGTGTGTGGTGTGGCCGCGCACTCAAGCTGCTTTTTGTCGTGCGGTGGCAAGGGCACATGTTCAAAGGGAGACGATTGACTGCTCGAGAATGAACCAACGGCAACGAGAGTGGGCATGAACACGATTACTACACTGGATGCTGTTCCGGACGTGCGTGCTGGCCTTGCGGTGAGCCTTGCTGAGCTTTTTGTAGCCTTTTCATGCCTCTATTTCCCCCCCTCCATTCCATGCCTGAAATACAAACGTCTCATGTTTGTTCTCGTAGTTTTGCCTTTTTACTCCAACATTCACTCCTCAGTCCGTACATTCCCTGCCAAGCCCACTTTTCCCCTCCCCCATCACCCATTCCCCCCAAACTCCCCTCTCCCCCCCCCCCCCCTTTTCCACCCATCCTTCCCTCCCTTCCCTTTCGATACTGTCTCTCATCTCTTACTTGCCACTTAGGCGCCTATGAAAGAGGCTGTCGACATCATATTTTTTTTCACAAACCTCCATGACTTCACGATGTACCCCAGCCACGAACAAAAGGAGTCAGCTTTGTCCTTTGCACTAGGTCTCCTTGAGCCTGAAGAGCAGGACATTGTCACTGTTGTTCTCAAAGCCGATCCCTACCGGAGCGGGTGCTACACCAAGATCATTCAGGAGTTTCGACACGATTCGCTGAATAATGGGCGCAATCGGGTTTACGATTTCTTCTACCTGGAAGTGCCAAGGCCGAAGCTTGGCGGGAAAAGGCAAGGAGGGACCACTATCGTAAAGTTCCTAGCCCTTAATGGTCCCAGTGAGTCTCCTTTCCCTTTCCCATCATCCGCCTTACCCACCCACAGAGCATTTTCCCCTTTCGATCCTTTGATTTCCTTTTTTCTTGAGACCTCTGTATAATCCTCACCTTGTTTCCCACTCTCATCAATTCACGTTTCCCGTATTAGAGAATATACCCTAAACCCATATGACATCAATCCATCCACTCTATCTCTCTCTAAACCTCAACCCTGAACCTCCTCTCCCTCCTAATTCCCCTCCCCCTCTTCCTCTTCCCCTCTCCCTGTCCCTCTTCCCCTCTCCTCCTCCCTCCTCCCCTCTCTGAACTCTCCCTTCATCTTCCACTCTCCCTATCCCTCTCCCTCTTCCCCTCTCCCTCTCCCTCTCCCTCATCCCCTCTCCCTCCCCCACTCCCGCATCCCCTCTCAGAGAACAATCCCAAAACCTGTTTGCCTCTTCGCCTTGCAAACATCCTCACACCTCGTCACCTTCAGCCATACTGACTTTCATTATTCTCACCCTACACAAGTTTCCCCTCTTCCCCTCGCAAAAATAAGTTGTCCTAAACCCCTCCTTCATTTTCCAGCACTCTGAACCCTCCCCTCCCTCCTCCCCCCCTCCTTCCTCCCCCCTTTCCTCCCTTCCCCTCACCCCCCAACCCCTAAACCAGGGCCTGCCCTCCCTTCTGCGAAGATAACTACTACAACGGGAGCTAGACTACGGGATAGGCACGGGTGCTCATGTGATCTCTGCGTTCTTTGGTCCTTTGTCGTTTTCTTAGTGCACGCACAGCTAGCTAGTTCACGGGGAGATAGGGCAAGAGTTTTACTAGAGAAAGTTGACAACAATGGTACAATGAAGTTGGCATGGCAAGACTACATCAGAGCAAGCATTCAGGTCGGTCGACTGCCAGCGCAGCACGGTCGACCGCGTTCCAGCACGACTTGGTCTACCGCGCTCCAGCAGTGCAAAGTCGACGGCGTGCAAACGTCGCAGGTTGACGGCGTGCGAGCGTTGCTCCTGCAGAATAGCATCGCACCAGCTTCGCAGGTGCTCGCAGATGATTGGCGTGCTGAGCCTCGTCACTTGCACAACGCACACACCAAGCCATCCTCGTGCTGACGACTCCACCTGATCGGCCATGTCGACCTCGGGATACCACCCCCGAGTTCGGGCTCGCCAACTTCGCCCGGGCGACCGTCGCACTCCTCCGCAGAACCTCGTCACCCAGGTAACCTTGTCGACCGGGAAACCACGTCGACCAGCTGCTCCCGTATGTGAAATTGAACGAGAACGAAATGACTAAGGGAAAGTTGGGTACAAGTACAAACCCTAGAAAGCTGTACCCCATATGTGCTACCCCACTATAGCCTACAGTAGCTATGTCATATAAATCTAACACACCCCCATAAGCAAAGTGGGGGAGAACAAGGGTTCACAAGACCAGTCAAGCAAAGCAAAGCAAGCTCAGGGTGGATCACAAAGTCACCACACAGTCCGAGCACAAGTTCAAGGCCACAAGGCCAGTTCACATGCAGGATTACATATATATATAAGGCTAGACAAGCAAGAGCAGGTGTATATATATATGCAATAGTACAAACAAGGTCAAGGGGTGAGCAAGTGAGGCAAGGTAGGCACAAGACCCAGCTGAGTACAGAAGCGCTGATGATCACAAGGCGCAAGTGCCTTGGTGAAGTTATCAGCAATGTTGGCCTCAGAGGCCACGTACGCAAGGCGCAGCTGACCACGCTGCTGTAGCTCACGAGCAAGGAAGTAGCGGAGAGCGATGTGCTTCGTTCTTTGCTCGAGTCTCTGCTCTCGACAAAAAGGCCAGCATGGCCTTGTTGTCTACGTAGAGAACTAGAGGAAAACGAGGCGGCTCTCCGAGGTCAGTCAGCAGGTAGGTGAGCCAGCGAAGCTCCTGTGCAGTCATGGCCCCGGCGTAGATCTCAACCTCACAACTGGAGCCGAGAATAGAAGACGAGCGAGTAGCCCGCCACGAGACAGAGCCGGAACCAAGGTTGAAGGTGTAACCCTGTGACGACCGCTGCATAGCCTGGTCGTCAAACCAAGAAGCGTTTGCGTGCCCAGTGAAGACCACTGGACTCTACCCTTCAAGCACAAGCCCCATGCCCGACGTACTGCACAAGAAGCGCAACACCCTCTTCGCTGCAGCCATGTGCTCCGGTCGGTGTCTCCCAGGAGCAACATAGCGTGCTAGAATGCTAAGAGGGTATGCAAGGTCAGGTCGTGTGCAGGTCATCAGGTACATGAGGCAGCCAACAAGCTCTGGGTACGGGCCACTCGACTCTACGGACTCATCTAAAGGCAGAGCTGAGAGCGAGTGGTGAGTAGGCAGAGGAGTGGCCTGAGGCGAGGAGTACGTGAAGCCGAAGCGCTGAAGGACCTGCTGCACCATGTGTGACTGAGTCAGGGTAATGGTGCGGCGTGCTCTGTCCCGGGTGATCTGCAAGCCAAGGTAGCTGCGCAGTTCACCCATGTCTATGCACGTGTGTCTCTTCTGCAGCTCGGACTTCACGTGGGCGAATCCAGCAGTGTCAGCTGTGGCAAAGACCAAGTCGTCGACGTACACGAGGATGTAGAACGGCGGCAAAGAAGTGTCGGTGCGCAGAAACAGCGACGGGTCGGCAGTAGAGGGAGCAAACCCAAGAGCTGAAAGTGTAGTCCTCAGTGTGTCGTGCCACTCACGCGGTGCCTGGCGGAGACCGTAGACTGGCCGCCGAAGGCTCCACTGGGTACCAGGAGGGAATGATCCAGTGAACCCAGGTAGGCGGCGCAGCCAGATCTCCTCGTGCAGGCTGCCATGCAGGAAAGCTGTGCTGAAGTCAAGAGAGTGAAGCTCGTAGTCGTGCTGAGCGGCTATGTGCAGCAGCATCCGAAGAGTGGTCATCTTCGGGGTGGGAGAGAAGGTCTGAAAGTAGTCAACTCCCTGCCGCTGACTGAAGCCTCGAGCCACGTAACGCGCCTTGAAGATAGGCGGAGAACCCGGCGGTCGCTTCACCCAAAAAATCCACATGCAACTGATGATGTTCGCCCCACGCGGGGGATCCTCGTCGACGTAGGTGCGTGTGGACTTCCAGGAACCCATCTATGTATCCATAGCTGCCTGCCGCTGAGAGGAGTAGGGACCCTCTATCGCCTCCGCGTAAGAGCGCCGAGAAGGGATGTCAAGTGCATCCGGGTCTCCCTCAGGGGTAAGCAGTACGGACACGAGATGAACATAGCAGCAGCCAAACACTAGAACTCCTCCTGCCTGTCCTCAAGGACGTCCATGCCAAGGGCACACTCACCCTCGACAGACGGAGGACAAACAGACTCAGACTCAGCGACAAGACTAGCAGCGTAGTCTAGACGACAGCGAGTAGCGAAGTCGACGAGCTCAGCAACTAGGGCAGACGCAGAAGTGGACTCAAAGGAAGGGTCAATGACGACAGTAGCAAGGAGACGCGTGACAGTAGGACTGGCAGCACGAAGTAAGTCCGACTCCGGGTCGGCAAGAGCAGGAAGCGAGGACTCGGGAGGAGAAGGCAAAGGGGCACGCAGAGGAGCAGTGGACGGACTTAGAGACATCCAGTGCGTGCCAGGGACAGGAGGAGGACGCTGACGCGAACAACGACCACTAGTGTGAGCAGGACGGACAGGCGACGCAGGGCGAGACGCAGGCTCACGACGCTCAGCAAGACCTCCAGTAGGACCAGTGTAGGGAGAAGGAGCAGGCAGTGGGGAGGCCGGCTGGAACTGTAACTGTGACGGGACAGGCTGTGGACACTCTAAGGGAGGAGGAGGACCAGTAGAACGCGGGAGACCAAGAACCTGCTGAAGGAGCGGAACGAAGTACGGCCGAGGCCGCACGGCTACTCCAGAAACAGCATGGACAGCACCAGTACCCCCAGCGGCAGCACCAGCGCCAGCAGCACCTCCAGCTCCAGTACGCCCTGCAGCACCAGTAGCACCCCCAGTAGG